TACTTTTATAGTGATTTTTTGTTAATGTCCTTCAGGAAACAGATTTGCACCTTCTGAATGAGAGCTAAATATCTTTCCTGACACTATGTATTGAAGAGCTTTCCGAAACCATGGATAAAAAAAGCCGTGAATAAGGGGGTTGCAAGTAGAGTTGAAGTACCCAAGCCACACGAGAAGATCAAGTACTATCATGGGCGTGGAGTAGTCTAAATATGGGTCAATCAGAACCGCAAGAAAGCAGGGCAGCCAGCAAGCGAGGAACGCCCCCATCACGATGCCCAGGGTCTTGGCTGCTTTCCTATCTTTTTTCTTAGACAGATTTTTTTTCACTTCTGCTTTAGTGCTTTCAGGCATACTGTTGATGACTTGAGCATGTCGTTTTGAAACAAAGATTCTACTATAAATACCCACCATGATGGAGCCAGGAGTAAAGAAACAAGTGGTAAACAGTACTGTCCCCCAAAGTTTGTTGAAAGTGAATGCACAGAACTTGAAACAGGTGACAAGAATCTCATAGCTCTGCATGCCAGCTACGTTGGCCTCGGAGAGAACTAAACCAAAACTAAAAAGTGCGGGCGCGGACCAGCAAAATACGAGGAATCGCTTAACGGTGGAGACTGTCATTATCGTTGCGTAGTGCAAAGGGTAGCACACGGCATAAAACCGATCAACAGCGATGGAGCAGAGGTGGAAAACGGAGGTCAGGCTCAGCAGCATGTCAAAGCTCGAGTGGAATTTGCAGAAGCCATCCCCAAAATACCAACAGCTCTCCACCGATCGCACCATGCTGTACGGCATGATGACCAAGCCCAGCAAGAAGTCTGTGGTTGCCATGGAGAGGATCAGAAAGTTTGTGGGAGAGTGAAGCTGCTTGAAATGCGATATAGAAATCATGATCACCAAGTTTCCAAAGACAGTAATGAGCATGGCTCCGGCCATAACGGAGTACATTAGAGCTCGCAGGTACAGCGGGCGGTTGGTGGTAGGGCAGGATTTATTTCCAAATTTTAGGCAGCTGGATAAGTTTTCGGGAATGTATGCTAGATCCATGGTCCCTTACCACTTCAAATCCTGTTCCAAAAAGATGGGTTGGTTTTTCTTCTCTTCTCAATTTGATTCCAGCAAACATCAGATCCTAATAGTCATAAAAAAAAGTCAAAGTCATCTGTTAGTAGTTCACTTCAGTTGTAATTTGTTCAAAATACTTAAAGTTCTATCAATTGTATTTGCTCTCTGAGTGGGTGGTTGAATTAGAAAAAAATGACCATTTTCAGTGACTTATTTATTCTTTCCTATGTTATTCTGTGATTTTCCTCCTGCAACCATTCATTCATTCACTATGTTATTAACTGTTCTGCTCCTGTAATGTATTGAAAAATTTTCAAGAATTTTTGGTGGGGTTTCACTTTGGGCAACCATTCTCCTGAAAACTCTTACTACCATAATCTGATATCTCATTCTCCTTAACTACACACACATATACACACACACAATCTAAATGAATTCACAGTTTTTCCCCACACATTCCTTCAGTAATTTAAATTCTTCATCTGTAAAACGTGTACAGATGTTTTAGAATAAAAAATGCCATGGTACTCTTTAATTATGGAATACCATGAAATACAGCTTTTTAGCATGAAAGCCATACACTTGCATGGACTAAGCTTGTACCTGGATCAGCGCTTTAGTTCTTCTCTATTTTCTACCCTTTTTCTTCTCTGTCTCTGTCCCTTTCATTCTCCTTCCTGTATTTCTTGAGTCATAGCTTAGGTAAGATTCTAATCAGTAGATCCATGGACCATGCTTCATCTCTGAGAGATCAGGAGGATCACAAATTTCATGACCAGTCACCTAAAACTCACGTGACTCATATGGGTCACAGTAGGAGGGATGAGAGAGTGTAGTTATATAATTATAAGGTGCATTTCCAGTTTGCTAGCATCCCTGGTCATTTAACTTGCGATGTGCGTAAGTCACCCTGAAAAATCATTCATTCATAGGATTTGCAGAGGCTTGACACTGTGCTCATAATAAGCATCCAGTCTCTTTAGTGGACCACAGAAAAAGAGGGCCCGATCTTGAGCAAATGAGGCATAGGGGACATCCTTAAGCTGTGTCATTCTTGCAGACCATATGCTTTTAACTGGAGTGTACACTGAGCAAGTTTATCCACTTAGGAAGGCTCAATTTAGTTTTCCCCTTAAGATGCTAAGAAAGAGCACAAAAAGATCCACTCCTGATCTCAATGTCCTAGAGTCTCCCTTTGATGCTCATGAAAATGTCATTCTTTCCTGGCTGAGGGATAGGAAAGGAACTCTCCTGTGAGAAGCAAAACAAAAAACAGCAAACAAACGTGTGATATCACCTAGAAAGTTTCTTATTCCCCAGTTACAGAGGGTATCTATTTGAAAAGCCTTAGGGGGACCTATTTTGGAGATGACTGCTCCCCATGACTGGGGGGTGCTCTGCATCAGAGGTGATGAACCTAAGGCGTATGGATTATTGTGCTGTTCTTTCCAGACAACAGATGTCAATGTGTTAATTGTTTTTGCACATTGTTTTTGAGACTAAAACCTCAGCATTCAGGTTTCATCTCAGTGCTGGAACTTTGTGATAAATACATTGCTTCCGGGTTGCAATTTGAGTGCACATCTCTAAAGGTCTCAGTGCTCTAGGTTAAGAATTTCTAGCAACGATTTCCAAGGAGCAAGTAGCAAAAGAGCCTTGCACTGGAAATTTTTCTTCTAGTCCAAATTCTGGGGGTGGTCAGCTATAAGCAATTGACGACCTGACACATGATAGCTAAATGTGCCCAGCATAAAAATGTAGGAATCATTGGTAACAAAAGTTATTAGCTTTCAGTATTTCTTTTAAATAAGTAGAAAGTAGGAGAGGAGAACAAAAAGATGAACAAGAGAGATGGAATCAAGTCTGCGGCTGAAACCTGAGTACCATGCTTTGGATGCCCACGGTGGAGGCTTACGCTCGGCCTGCAGTGCGGCCTCAGTGAATCTCCTGGTTCTCGGAACTCGCGCTCCACCCCCACGATCGCAGTGCGTTTGCCAGGTATTTGATGAGGTGCTATGTTTGTGAAAAAATACGTAATTCCAAAACACTATTGGTAGTAAATGCCAGATCCCACTGTGTAGTAAGACTTTCAGGGTTGTTGTAGCTTGTAAGTCGTCTTCTGATTTTCACGGTTGGCAGTTCTTAGTCCTCGCATGAACCTCCAATATTCAGTGCCAGAAGTCTGTGGGCGCTTCAGGTCAAGTTGCAGCAATTGTTCGTGTTTGAAGATGACATAAAAAATAATAAATAGGGCAGAGTTTTGAGTACCCTACAGGAAAACTCTCCAAGTTGCTAATTTGCCTTGTTTAGGAGTTGCCGTGTTTTCTTTAATGTTAATGATCAAGATAATTCAATGTGGCCATCTTATTACACTTAGGGATGTGTAATTGTGGATTTTTGGTTAAAGGCTTTTGCTGTTGTGGAAATGTTATTTTGAATGTATTTTGAACTGTCAGAGCAAAAGAAAGAATTTTTTGTACATTTTTTCATTTAATTAGAATGAATTTTAAGTTTCAGCCAAAAGGGTTAAGTGTAAATTTAAATAATTAAGTATTTATTGCTGAATAATGTATATATTTCCATTCCAAATAATTTTAAGTGTGCGAAGTTGAAATAAATTCTTTAAAGTTTACTATAATATTGCCTGTAGCTTCACAAAGAAATTCTCTTGTATTTATTTATCAGCTTAATCAAATAAAATTATCAAAACAAAAAAAAAATAAAAAAATAAACCATGGCTCCCAGAATTCTCTTTTGGGGGCGGGGCTGGTCGGAAGTGCTGCCACACAGGGCACGAGGCTCGGAAGACCTCCCAGGTCTTCGTTCTGTCTCTGCTTCCTGACTGCCATGCAAGGAGAAGCTTTCTTGCACTCTTTGCCACTATTTTCTGCTGTTCCACACCTTTTCTGTTATGTAGTTTCTGCCTTAGACCCAGCTGGCGGTGGGCTAAATCCACTGAAGTTAGAAGTCAGAATATACCTTTCCTCCTGTAAATTACAGACATTATTTTCTTCCAGACACAAGAAAATAAAAATATTCATTAGTGTACTTTCAATGCCAGGGCAGGTATGATCAATATAAAAAATAGTTTATATTTCATAACAGCAAGAAGTAAAAACTGACATCTGTCACTTCTCCCAAATGACTGACAGTTCACAAGTAAGCCTTATAAAAATATACAGCAGTTGGCAAGGGACAGAGATGATGTCTTGAAAGCGTCTTCTTAAAAGCATCTTAAGGAACAGAGAAAACCATTTTGGTGACAGTAAACACACGCAACAGATAAAGCAGCTTCGGTTTCAGAGAGCAGGGAAAGTAAGCCGAGAGAGTTCAAGTCAACGCGTATTTGTTGCAGCTAGAAAAGAGAAAAATCTCTACCAAGATTCAGAGAACAAAGAGGAAAAGATCTGTCATCAGGATATTCGTGTTTTGTGGTGGCTAAGTCTCACCTTGGCTGGATGGTCAGATCACGGCCTTGTCTGTGTGCCGTGTCTGCGACAGCCTCTGTCTGCATAAAAAGCCTTGTGCAGTCCGCACTCCCCGTCGCCAGCACTCCAGCCACCTTGGGCCCTGGTCTCTCTGTTGCCCTGTGAGTTGTGTGACTGGACAACGCCCTGCCCTCCAGCGGTTGAGAGTGCTTCCATCTCTACCATGTTATGCCTATATGATTTGTATGTTCCCTGAGTTTACAAAGAACTCTTCTGCACCGTAAAGCAGCAAAATATTTAATTAGGGATGAAGAAATATCATTTGGGGAAGTAAAGAGCAACAGAGTAACTTCAATAAGTGCTGCTTACAAAGGAAAAGAAGAAAAGAAAAGAAAAGAAAAGAAAAGAAAAGAAAAGAAAAGAAAAGAAAAGAAAAGAAATAGCGGGCTCCTGGAGGTGATTTAGTGTACTACATATAGAAGCTATTTTTTTTTTTACTATGATATAATACTAAACAGAAAAGTACATTTTAACAATATAGCAATCCTTGAGTGCCTTACACTTACTGAACCATGTATTGCACAGGTGTTACCTTTGCAAAAGCATTCTATGTCATTATGTAAAAACTTATAAGCCTTGCCAAACAAATTTCAATGGAAAACTTAAGACCTCTTTAAGAATTCCATAACCATTTTTCAGTTGGGAAAGAAAAGAAACTCTGCCTTCTCTATTGAAACCTAATTGCAACAATTTCTCATTTCCTGTAAATTATCATGGTTCAATTGCTTAGAATAAGACAATATAGCAGCAATAATAATTGTTTAAAGGATAGCACACTTGTGGCCTTTGTATTGAGACAGTACCTTGGCTTTCCTGGAAAGTTAGCTGGGATTCATTGAGTCTCTTCTAGTGAGGTCCGGCAGGGATGGTGACAGGAAGCTCTGGGAAGGTTGGCTTAAAGGATTAAAATACCAGATTATGTAAGTTTGCCTCTATTCTTAAGAGAACAGGAGTAGAGAGGAGCTCTGAGAGGCCCTTACTACACAGCCCCAGTGGAGTTGTTCCTTTAACTTTTTTTCCTGGGAGACATTGAAATATTCTGTCTACTTTTAATAGTTTCAAGTTCTCTTTTCGAAATTCACAACAATTACTGCATATTTGACTTCATGGTCACTTGAGCTTCATTTTGAAAGGAGCATGTATTGAAATTTTCAGTTAAATTTCATTAAAATATATAGGCATGTGCAGGCTGAAGTAAACACTGGCTAATATCCAAGGCAAGAAGCATTGTCTGAACCATAAGATATTTTGTTTTCACGCTTAGAAGACACTGGAGTGGGGTGGGAGTATTTACTTTTATTTCAGTGTTTTGTACCAGTTTAACTATAACCCCTTTTAGGGGAAAAAAGCCATTTAAATTATCAAAATCTTGAAATTCCACTTTA